TTTGCACACGCTAGGCCCTTGTTCTTTTTATTTTGCACACGCTAGGCCCTTGTTCTTGCTATTTTGCACACGCTATGCCCTTGTTCTTTTTATTTTGCACACGCTAGGCCCTTGTTCTTGCAATTTTGCACATGCTAGATCCTTGTTCTTTTTTTTTTGCACACGCTAGGCCCTTGCTCTTGCTATTTCGCGAACGCTAGGCCCTTGTTCTTGCTATTTTGCACACGCTAGGCCCTTGTTCTTTTTATTTTGCACACGCTAGGCCCTTGTTCTTGCTATTTTGCACACGCTATGCCCTTGTTCTTTTTTCTTTGCACACGCTAGGCCCTTGATCTTGCAATTTTGTACATGCTAGACCCTTGTTCTTTTGATTTTGCACATGCTAGGCCCTTGTTCTTGCTATTTCGCGAACACTAGGCCCTTGTTCTTGATTTTTTGCACACGCTAGGCCCTTGCTCTTGCTATTTTGCACTTGCTAGGCCCTTGTTCTTGCAGTTTTGCACACGCTAGGCCCTTGTTCTTGCAACTTTGCACACGCTAGGCCCTTGTTTGTTTTATTTTGCACACGCTAGGCCCTTGTTCTTTTTATTTTGCACACGCTAGGCCCTTGTTCTTGCTATTTTGCACACGCTATGCCCTTGTTTTTTTTATTTTGCACACGCTAGGCCCTTGTTCTTGCAATTTTGCACATGCTAGACCCTTGTTCTTTTTATTTTGCACACGCTAGGCCCTTGTTCTTGCTATTTCGCGAACGCTAGGCCCTTGTTCTTGATTTTTTGCACACGCTAGGCCCTTGCTCTTGCTATTTTGCACTCGCTAGCCCCTTGTTCTTGCAACTTTGCACACGCTAGGCCCTTGTTCTTGCAATTTTGCAAACGCTAGGCCCTTGTTCTTTTTATTTTGCACACGCTAGGCCCTTGTTCTTTTTATTTTGCACACGCTAGGCCCTTGTTCTTGCTATTTTGCACACGCTATGCCCTTGTTCTTTTTATTTTGCACACACTAGGCCTTTGTTCTTGCAATTTTGCACATGCTATACCCTTGTTCTTTTTATTTTGCACACGCTAGGCCCTTGTTCTTGCTATTTTGCGAACGCTAGGCCCTTGTTCTTGATTTTTTGCACACGCTAGGCCCTTGCTCTTGCTATTTTGCACTCGCTAGGCCCTTGTTCTTGCAATTTTGCACACGCTAGGCCCTTGTTCTTGCAATTTTGCACTTGCTAGGCCCTTGTTCTTTTTATTTTGCACACGCTAGGCCCTTGTTCTTTTATTTTGCACACGCTAGGCCCTTGTTCTTTTTATTTTGCACACGCTAGGCCCTTGTTCTTGCTATTTTGCACACGCTATGCCCTTGTTCTTTTTATTTTGCACACGCTAGGCCTTTGTTCTTGCAATTTTGCACATGCTATACCCTTGTTCTTTTTATTTTGCACACGCTAGGCCCTTGCTCTTGCTATTTCGCGAACGCTAGGCCCTTGTTCTTGATTTTTTGCATACGCTAGGCCCTTGCTCTTGCTATTTTGCACACGCTAGGCCCTTGTTCTTGCAATTTTGCACACGCTAGGCCCTTGTTCTTGCAATTTTGCACACGCTAGGCCCTTGTTCTTTTTATTTTGCACACGCTAGGCCCTTGTTCTTTTTATTTTGCACACGCTATGCCCTTGTTCTTTTTATTTTGCACACGCTAGGCCCTTGTTCTTGCTATTTTGCGAACGCTAGGCCCTTGTTCTTGATTTTTTGCACATGCTAGGCCCTTGTTCTTTTTATTTTGCGACGCTAGGCCCTTGTTCTTTTTATTTTGCACACGCTAGGCCCTTGTTCTTTTTATTTTGCACACGCTAGGCCCTTATTCTTGCTATTTTGCACACGCTATGCCCTTGTTTTTTTATTTTGCACACGCTAGGCCCTTGTTCTTGCAATTTTGCACATGCTAGACCCTTGTTCTTTTTATTTTGCACACGCTAGGCCCTTGTTCTTGCTATTTCGCGAACGCTAGGCCCTTGTTCTTGATTTTTTGCACACGCTAGGCCCTTGCTCTTGCTATTTTGCACTCGCTAGCCCCTTGTTCTTGCAATTATGCACACGCTAGGCCCTTGTTCTTGCAATTTTGCACACGCTAGGCCCTTGTTCTTTTTATTTTGCACACTCTAGGCCCTTGTTCTTTTTATTTTGCACACACTAGGCCCTTGTTCTTGCTATTTTGCACACGCTATGCCCTTGTTCTTTTTATTTTGCACACGCTAGGCCCTTGTTCTTGCAATTTTGCACATGCTAGCCCTTGTTCTTTTTATTTTGCACACGCTAGGCCCTTGCTCTTGCTATTTCGCGAACGCTAGGCCCTTGTTCTTGATTTTTTTGCACACGCTAGGCCCTTGCTCTTGCTATTTTGCACTCGCTAGGCCTTCTTCTTGCAATTTTGCACACGCTAGGCCCTTGTTCTTGCAATTTTGCACACGCTAGGCCCTTGTTCTTTTTATTTCGCACACGCTAGGCCCTTGTTTTTTTATTTTGCACACGCTATGCCCTTGTTCTTTTTATTTTGCACACGCTAGGCCCTTGTTCTTGCTATTTCGCGAACGCTATGTCCTCGTTCTTGATTTTTTGCACACGCTAGGCCCTTGTTCTTCCTATTTTGCACTCGCTAGGCCCTTGTTCTTGCAATTTTGCACACGCTATGCCCTTGTTCTTGCAATTTTGCACACGCTAGGCCCTTGTTCTTGCTATTTTGCACACGCTAGGCCCTTGTTCTTTTTATTTTGCACACGCTAGGCCCTTGTTCTTGCTATTTTGCACACGCTATGCCCTTGTTCTTTTTTTTTGCACACGCTAGGCCCTTGTTCTTGCAATTTTGCACATGCTAGACCCTTGTTCTTTTTATTTTGCACACGCTAGGCCCATGTTCTTGCTATTTCGCGAATGCTGGCCTTGTTCTTGATTTTTTTGCACACGCTAGGCCCTTGTTCTTGCTATTTTGCACTCGCTAGGCCCTTGTTCTTGCAATTTTGCACACGCTAGGCCCTTGTTCTTGCAATTTTGCACACGCTAGGCCCTTGTTCTTTTTATTTTGCACACGCTAGGCCCTTGTTCTTTTTATTTTGCACACGCTAGGCCCTTGTTCTTGCTATTTTGCACACGCTATGCCCTTGTTCTTTTTATTTTGCACACGCTAGGCCTTTGTTCTTGCAATTTTGCACATGCTAGACCCTTGTTCTTTTTATTTTGCACACGCTAGGCCCTTGTTCTTGCTTTTTCGCGAACGCTAGGCCCTTGTTCTTGATTTTTTGCACACGCTAGGCCCTTGCTCTTGCTATTTTGCACTCGCTAGGCCCTTGTTCTTGCAATTTTGCACACGCTAGGCCCTTGTTCTTGCAATTTTGCACACGCTAGGCCCTTGTTCTTTTTATTTTGCACACGCTAGGCCCTTGTTCTTTTTATTTTGCACTCGCTAGGCCCTTGTTCTTGCTATTTTGCACACGCTATGCCCTTGTTCTTTTTATTTTGCACACGCTAGGCCCTTGTTCTTTTTATTTTGCACACGCTAGGCCCTTGTTCTTGCTATTTTGCACATGCTATGCCCTTGTTCTTTTTATTTTGCACACGCTAGGCCCTTGTTCTTGCTATTTTGCGAACGCTAGGCCCTTGTTCTTGATTTTTTGCACACGCTAGGCCCTTGCTCTTGCTTTTTTGCACACGCTAGGCCCTTGTTCTTGCTATTTTCCACACGCTAGGCCCTTGTTCTTGCAATTTTGCACACGCTAGGCCCTTGTTCTTGCAATTTTGCACACGCTAGGCCTTTGTTTTTTTTATTTTGCACACGCTAGGCCCTTGTTCTTTTTATTTTGCACACGCTAGGCATTTGTTCTTGCTATTTTGCACACGCTATGCCCTTGTTCTTGCTATTTTGCACACGCTATGCCCTTGTTCTTGCTATTTTGCACACGCTAGGCCCTTGTTCTTTTTATTTTGCACACGCTAGTGTCAGAACTTATAGCTTACTTGTTTCTGTAGGCTATAGTGGGGTATCCCATAGGGGGTACAACCCAATTAGGGTTTCCTATTTGTACTCACTTCGTTCATAGTCATTCCATTCTCGTTCTTTGTTTTCACATGGAATCAGAGCAGGTTCCCTCCTAGGGACTGCTTCTAGGGCCCACCGAACCGCGCCCCGAGGCGCGTTTTTTTTTTTAGCGACCCGTCGTGTCGCCCCTAGCGGACCGTTGCGCCGCCCTTACCCTCGCGGCTCCGCCGCCCTTCCCTAGCGGCCCCGCCGCCCTTCGATCGCGGCCCCGCCGCCCTCTGCTACGCGGCCCCGCCGCCCTCTGCCTCGCGGCCCCCGCCGCCCTCTGCTCGCTACGCGGCCCCGCCGCCCTCTGCTACGCGGCCCCGCCGCCCTTCGATCGCGGCCCCGCCGCCCTCTGCTACGCGGCCTCGCCGCCCTCTGCTACGCGGCCCCGCCGCCCCCTGCTACGCGGCCCCGCCGCTCTCTTCGGTCGCGGCCCCGCCGCCCTCTGCTACGCGGCCCCGCCGCCCTCTGCTACGCGGCCCCGCCGCCCTCTGCTACGCGGCCCCGCCGCCCTCTGCTACGCGGCCCCGCCGCTCTCTTCGGTCGCGGCCCCGCCGCCACTCTGCTACGCGGCCCCGCCGATCCGCCCAGCAGCAGCCGCCGCCGCCTGAGCCGCCGCCGAGCCGCCGCCGAGCCGTCGCCGAGCCGCCGCCGAGCCGCCGCCCGAGCCGCCGCCGAGCCGCCAGAGCCGCCGCCGAGCCGCCCGTGACGCCCGAGCCGCCCGCGCCGCCCAGCAGCAGCCGAGCCGCCGCCGAGCCGCCGCCGCCTGAGCCGCCGCCGAGCCGCCGCCGAGCCGCCGCCGAATCCGCCGCCGAGCCGCCGCCCGAGCCGCCGCCGAGCCGCCCGCGCCGCCCGAGCCGCCTGCGGAGCCGTGCTGCTGTTCCTCTGCTGCTGACCTACCCGCCTCTCCCAGCCCGGTGAGATTTTCAGCTGCTGTCATGGCCACCCCCAATGTTCTTACCTTTGACGCTGAGGGGAGGGCCATTGACTTTGCCGTCTGGATTGAAGACCTGCAGCTGTACTTACTGTGTGATGCGATAGATGAGGTCTCTCTCTTTGACTTTGTCTCTGGCGCTTGTCCCTGCCCCACCTGCTGATGCTGACTCTGCCGTTCGCTCCAAGTGGGCGACCCGCGATGCTGCTGCACGTCTTGCTGTGCGTCGCCACCTCCCTTCCTCTGAGCGTGCCCACTTTAGTCAGTGCAAGACCGCTCAGGCCTTGTACGACGCTGTAGTTGCACGCTACTCCTCCCCTTCCTCCGCTACCCTTAGCCGCCTCATGCTACCGTTTCTCTTCCCTGACCTCGCTTCCTTTCCCACTGTCGCTGACCTCGTTACCCACCTCCGTGCTAGTGACACCCGCTACCGCGCTGCCCTTCCTGCTGAGTTCCGCGCTGCGAACCCTCCTCCCATGTACATCACTCTCTACTTTCTCGTCACCCGTCTCCCTGAGTCCCTTCGTGTCGTTAGGGACCAGTTTCTCTCTGTCTGTCCCACCACTCTCACTGTCGACCTCCTTGAGGAGTCCCTGCTAGCGGCTGAGAAGAGTATTGTCGCTGTAGGGGCCTCTCGGGGTGACCCTCGCACCCCTATCTTTGAGGGGTGTGGTCCTTCCCCCCTGCTGCCCTCTGTCGCCTCTGCCGCTGCGGCCGACCTCACTGGTTTTGAGTCGGTCGGCGCGGCGTCTGCCCCCAGCGGCAGACGCCGCGCTGGCAAGGGCAAGGGGGGCAAGGGAGCGGGTGGAGCTAGAGGGGGCGGTGGAGGAGGCGGTGGGGGTGGCGGGGGGAGTGGGGGTGGCGGTGGGGGTGGTGGCGGAAGTGGAGGTACTGGTGGCGGCGGTGGAGGCGGAGGTGGCGGCGGAGGTGGTAGCGGAGGAGGCGGTGGGAGCGGTGGGAGCGACGGTCCTGGTGGGGGAGGTGGAGGTGGAGACGGGGGTGGCGGTGGAGGCGGGGGTGGCAGTGGAGGCGGGGGTCGGAGTGGCTCGTCCCAGCGGAGCAGCTCCGGGGGTGGTCAGCGCCAGCAGCAACAGCAGCAGCAGCCGCAGCAGCAGCCACAGCAGCAGCAGCGCTCTCGCACCGTCCCCGCCCCTCAGCAGCTCCGTGAGTGGTACTCGCAGCGTCAGCGTGGTGGTGCGCTTGGTCCTTGCCCCTACGTTCTCCGCACCGGTGACCGTGCAGGGGAGAGGTGTGGAGGCGCCCACACTGCCCGCCGCTGCTTTGGCCGCCTGACTGACGCCTGGCGTCAGCAGTTTCCGGAGGCAGCTGAGATCCCCCGCTGGGGAGAGCTGTCTAGGGCTGGTGTAGCTATTTATGATCTTGATTTTGATGCTATTCTCTCTGCTATGTATGCTGCGATTGGTAGTGATGAGGATGACTGTTACCGGTGTTTCCCGCCCGACCCGGGCATTGGTACTGCCCGCGTCAGGTACTAGTGAGGCTGCTGCTCTAGGTGCCAGTGCGTCTGTGCTCTCAGGTGCTGGTGAGTCTGCTCTCTCAGGTACTGTGTCGGCTTCGGCCTCTCACACCTTCACCCTTGACTCTGGAGCGTCTCGCTCCTTCTTTCGGGACCGCACCACTCTCACGCCGCTGAGTCGGCCGGTTGCGGTGTCCCTGGCTGACCCCTCTGGGGGGCCTGTCCTGTCTCGCTTCTCCACTGTCCTCCCGTGTCCGGCGGCCCCCTCTGGCACCCTGACTGGTCTCTACCTCCCCTCGTTCTCGACGAACTTGGTGAGTGGTGCTGACCTCCAGGATGCGGGTGTCCACCAGTTCACCCCTGCTCGTCAGCGGGTGACCCACTGCACGGAGGCGGATACAGGTCGCCACCTGGCTACGTTTACACGTCGGCCAGGGTCGAGCCTGTACACTCTGACCACTGCTTCTCCTCCAGGTGCTGAGTCTGGTAGGGTCACTTCGTCTGTCAGGTGTTTGCTGCAGCGTCCAGGTCTGGTCCTGAGTCTGCCCCCTGCTCGTGCCGTCGTTTGTCTCACGAGACCCTCCTCTGGCACCACCGCCTTGGCCACCCCTCTCTGCTTCGGCTCAGAGGCATGGCCTCGCGAGTCCTTGTGTCTGGTCTTCCCCGGTCTCTCCCTCCCCTTCCTCCGGGCCCTGGCCCCACCTGTGTCCCCTGTGTCGAGGGGCGCCAGCGTGCTGCCCCTCACTCCTCCCAGTTTCCTCCGACAGAGGCCCCGTTGCAGACGCTTCACATGGATGTGTGGGGCCCAGCCCGCGTCCGTGGACAGGGTCAGGAGCGCTACTTCCTGCTGGTGGTTGACGACTACTCGCGTTACACCACAGTCTTCCCCTTGCGCAGCAAGGGTGAGGTCACTGCGGTGTTGATCGACTGGATCCGCGCAGCTCGTCTCCAGCTTCGGAGGAGCTTTGGCTCTGACTTCCCTGTTTTGCGTCTGCACTCGGACAGAGGCGGAGAGTTCTCCTCTGGCCTCCTGAGTGCCTACTGTCGTGCGCGAGGCATCCGTCAGACCTTCAGCTTCCGGACTCACCGCAGCAGAATGGGATTGCTGAGCGCCGCATTGGCATGGTCATGGACGTCGCTCGTACGTCCATGATGCATGCGGCTGCTCCCCATTTTCTGTGGCCGTTTGCGGTCAGGTACGCTGCGCACCAGATCAACCTCCACCCCAGGGTCTCTCGACCGGAGGACCTCCCCAGCCCTGCTGTGGACGGGGAAGGTTGGCGATGCGTCGGCGTTCCGGGTCTGGGGATCTCGGGCGTTTGTTCGCGACCTGTCTGCGGACAAGCTATCCCCTCGTGCTTCTCCCTGCGTCTTCCTGGGGTTCCCCCCCGACGCCCCCTGGGTGGCAGTTTTACCACCCCACCTCTCGACGTGTTCTGTCCTCCCAGGACGTCACGTTCGACGAGTCGGTACCCTACTACCGCCTCTTCCCCTACCGCACTCCGTCCCTCCCCCCCCCCCGCTCTTCTTGGTACCAGGTCCCCCCCCGGTAGTCCCCCTCCCCCTCAGGGTCCTGCCCCTTCAGGTGTGTCCCAGGTAGACGCAGGTCGAGCCTGTCGAGGTCACTGGTGACTCTGGTGCTGCTGCGGGAGCTGAGCCTGGGGGTGCGGAGTCTGGGGGTGCTGAGCCTGGAGGTGCCGAGTCTGGGGGTGCTGAGCCTGGGGGTGCTGAGCCTGGGGGTGCTGTGCCTGGAGGTGCCGAGTCTGGGGTGCTGTGCCTGGGGGTGCTGAGCCTGGGGGTGCTGAGCCTGGGGTTGCTGAGCCTGGGGTGCTGAGCCTGGGGGTGACGTGCCTGGGGGTGCTGTGTCTAGGGGTGCTGAGCCTGGAGGTGCTGTGCCTGGGGGTGCTTCGTCTCGCCGGGAGCCACTCTCCCCACAGGAGCTGCGTGAGTGGTTTGCCGGGCGCTGGAGGCGTGCTGCTGGTGCTGGTGGTTCTTCGGCTGCAGAGGGTACTGCTGCTGCGCGCCCCGCCGGTGCTCGTACTGTGGGTGCTGGAGCTGCTGAGTCTGAGAGTTCTCCTGGAGCTGGTCCTGCTGAGGGTGTTGGTGCTGAGCCTGCCGTTGGCGGCCCGACTGACAGTGCTCCTGGTGCTGCGGCTGGAGGTTCTGGAGCTTCTGGTGGTGCTGCTGGAGGTGCTACTGGAGTGGGTGCTCCTGCCGGGGCTGCTGGTGCTGTTCCCTGCTGTTTCTAGCGTCGCCGCGCGGCCCCGACCGTACTTCGTTCCGCTCCTGCAGCAGGTTCTTGGTCTTACACCTCCTCCTCCTCCCTTAGAGGGTCCGCAGCCTGTCCGGTCACAGCCAACAGCTACAGCCTGCCTCCCCTTTGCCTGCTCCTTCTCCCTACGCTGGTCCGACTGGAGGTCTTACTGAGCGTCGTGAGCCTGCGTCTCGTCCTGTGTCGCCTGTTCGTACTGAGCGCGCTAGTGGTCGCGGGTCGCTGTCAGCGTCCTCCTCCTGTCCCTGGCACGCACCGGATGTCCTTGCGTCCGTCCACTGCTCCTCTGCGTGCCCCTTTGCCTTCTCCTCCTGCTTCCTCTCTTCCTGCTCTTGCCGACCCGGAGTCGGACGCCCTTCGTGCTGCCAGTCCTACTGTCACGCGTCTCCTGGCTACTGCTGTCACTGACCCCTCCTTCGAGTCGTCTGCTGCGTCTGCCCTTGTCACTGAGCTTGTCGACTTTGCTGCGCGCTGTCGTCTAGACTACGCTGCTCGTCTTGTCACTGAGTCTGAGTCCGCCTGTCCTCCGTCCGTCGGGGGTGAGTGTGCCCTTGGCACGGACGTCCTTGAGGACAGGCAGGAGGAGTTCCAGTGTCTGGCCGCCGCTTCACCTCGTCTCGCGTCTGTACTGCTAGCCCCTGAGGGAGACCCGGATGCACCAGACATCCCGACTCCGCGCTCTTACGCGGAGGCGATAGAGGGTCCCTACTCCTCTCAGTGGCAGGCAGCTATGGATGCAGAGATGGCTTCCTGGAAGTCCACAGGCACCTACGTTGACGCTGTTCCCCCTCCTGGGGCGAACATCGTCAGTGGCATGTGGATTTTCAGGGTGAAGCGGCCGCCGGGTTCTCCGCCTGTCTTCAAGGCGCGTTACGTGGCTCGTGGCTTCAGTCAGCGGCAGGGGGTTTGACTACTTTCAGACCTTCTCCCCCACCCCGAAGATGACCACTCTTCGGGTTCTGCTACACGTTGCTGCTCACCGTGACTACGAGCTGCACTCTCTCGACTTCAGCACAGCTTTCTTGCAGGGCAGCCTGCACGAGGAGATCTGGCTGCGTCGCCCACCTGGCTTCACTGGGTCTTTCCCTCCTGGTACCCAGTGGAGTCTCCGGCGTCCAGTCTACGGTCTCCGCCAGGCGCCACGTGAGTGGCACGACACACTGAGGACTACGCTGGCGGCACTTGGGTTTGCTCCTTCCACTGCCGACCCGTCGCTGTTTCTGCGCACCGACACCTCTCTGCCGCCGTTCTACATCCTCGTGTACGTCGACGACTTGGTCTTTGCCACAGCTGACACTGCTGGACTCGCCTACGTGAAGTCCGAGCTGCAGAAGAGACACACGTGCACTGACCTGGGTGAACTGCGCAGCTACCTTGGCTTGCAGATCACCCGGGACAGAGCACGCCGCACCATTACCCTGACTCAGTCACACATGGTGCAGCAGGTCCTTCAGCGCTTCGGCTTCACGTACTCCTCGCCTCAGGCCACTCCTCTGCCTACTCGCCACTCGCTCTCAGCTCTGCCTTCGGATGAGTCCGTAGAGTCGAGTGGCCCGTTTGCAGAGCTTGTTGGCTGCCTCATGTACCTGATGACCTGCACACGACCTGACCTCGCATACCCTCTTAGCATTCTCGCACGCTATGTTGCTCCTGGGAGACACCGACCAGAGCACATGGCTGCAGCGAAGAGGGTGTTGCGCTACTTGTGCAGTACGTCGGGCATGGGGCTAGTGCTTGGAGGGCGCAGTCCAGTGGTCCTCACTGGGCCGCAGACGCTTCTTGGGCTGACGACCAGGCTACGCAGCGGTCGTCACAGGGTTACACCTTCAGCCTTGGTTCCGGCTCTGTCTCGTGGCGGGCTACCCGCTCGTCTTCTGTTCTCGGCTCCAGTTGTGAGGCTGAGATCTACGCTGGGGCTATGGCTGCACAGGAGTTACGCTGGCTCACCTACCTGCTGACCGACCTTGGAGAGCAGCCTCGTTCTCCTCCAGTCCTGTACGTAGACAACAAGGCCATGCTGGCCTTGTGTCGAGAGCAGCGACTGGAGCACAGAACGAAGCACATTGCTCTTCGTTACTTTCTTGCTCGTGAGCTACAGCAGCGTGGACAGCTGCGACTTGCGTACGTGGCCTCTGAGGCCAACACTGCTGATGTCTTCACCAAGGCACTTGCGCCTTGTGATCATCAGCGTTGCTGCACGCAGTTGGGTCTTGTGCCTGTCTTGCCTCACTTGCTCTCCTCTTGACCTTGCTTGTACTTTCGCATATATATACTCTTGTTTTTTGTATATCTCTATATATGATCTTGCATGTGAACTGGCCTTGTGGCCTTTGAACTTGTGCTCGGAATGCGTGGTGACTTTGTGATCCACCCTGAGCTTTGCTTTGCTTTGCTTGACTGGTCTTGTGACCCCTTGTTCTCCCCCACTTTGCCTATGGGGGTGTGTCAGAACTTATAGCTTACTTGTTTCTGTAGGCTATAGTGGGTATCCCATAGGGGGTACAACCCAATTAGGGTTTCCTATTTGTACTCACTTCGTTCATAGTCATTCCATTCTCGTTCTTTGTTTTCAAAGCTAGGCACTTGTTCATGATATGTGCACACGCTTGACCTTTGTTCTTTTATTTTGAACACGCATAGGCCTTTGTTCTAGCAATTTTGCACATGCATAGTCAACCTTTTCTTTTTTTTTATTTTGCAAACGCCTAAGGCCTTTGTTCTTGCTTATGTCGCGAACGCTAGGCCATTGTTTTTTTTTTCTGATTAGTTGCACACGCTAGGCCATTGCTATTGCTATTTGCACCGCATAGGTCCTGTTCTTGCCAATTGTGCACACGCTAGGCCCTT